GTGTTTATAGATATCATAAAGGTTTAATAATTTGGAGGCTGCAAGATATTCTTTGATCATGTGGGCATATGGAAGACCTATTGTTGAACTTAAAGAACCTGTATAGGGGGGCAGGAGGTTGGTAGAATTCACAGATGATGCTTTTAGAAATTGCTCATACAATTTCTTTAATGCAAATGAAGAGATTTTATTAATCAATTCACGATAAAATAGAGTATTTTGTTTATACAGGAGCTGTGTTTTTTCTTTAGTGATCATTGCCTTAATTTCATTGTATTGATTTTCAAGCATTAATATGAGTTTTTCATACACATTATATAGATTGTCTGTGAAAACCTGCAAATACTGCTTCAAAGTAAAATGTGCTCCTTCTACTCTTAAGATCACAGTATTGCCTAAGTGAAGATATCTGTCAGTCCACACATTTACAAACCTGTTTTTAAATTGTAACTATGTATTGTTAAAGTAATTTATGATGAATGAAGTTTTATCATAACTATCAAATAATTTTTGCTATTGAATCATGAATTCTTCTTCAGTCTTAGACTTCACTACTGCCGACCAGAGTTAAAAAAATTCATTCTATACTTCTTCACTGTGAAATTTTTGTTTACACTTACTTATTATATTTTTCTCAATATGGTATAAACACAAAAGACTTTTTGTATCAGGAAATACACTTTCAAGCATATTCAATAGTGCTAATTCCTGATCTGTAATTATTACTTTAGGTTTTTTCATTCCATTAAACAAGCATGAAAGTCATGTTAATGCCCATTCGTAATCTTTCTTGTTTTCATTCTTAAGAAATACAAAGCATGAGGAAAAGGTTGTATTGAAACTAGTAACTCCAACTATATTAAGTAATGGCATCTTGAATTTATTTGTTTTATATATGCAATCTATTAATAATACATCTGAATATGTTCAGGTCAATTCAATAGATTTGTGATACGAGAAAAAAAGGTGAGTTATATGTTTGTCAGAATTACAATTATAATCATATTTGAATAAGCCTTTCTTAAGATTATCCAAAAGCGCTTGAATAGACATTCGTTCTTGTTGATATTCATCATAAAGCTTTCTACGAACATTATAAATGTCTCTTGAAGTTGCTATGACTGAAGAATCATTTTGTCTAAGAAAAGACAAAATTTGTCATGAACGAGCACCAGCCTTTGACATTATGTTTACTTGATCTAAAGCTTAACGATCTAATCTTCTAAGTGACAGATGAGCGAAGGATCTTCAGATGGCTCATGACAATACTTTTGGTTATTGATAGAAGAGTCTATAGATCATCATATCTTTTCTTTTCATGAAAAGCAAAAGAGCAGTCTATAAGCCTGGAGCTAGTTTTTCGTTTATGTGTCTTACTAGTATAGTCTCAGATATTATCAAATTTGGATGTTGCAGATTACTTTCTTTTTTGTATGATTAGAAAATTCTCAAGGCTTTCATTTAAGTCTATTACTAATCTATGAAGATCCATGAGGCTAAATTTACGCTAATCACTATTCATTTTTTTATTTGATAAACAACTGCCTTCTAAAGCCCTTGGGATCATGTAGGATCCCTAGACTACATAATCATAGGACAATTTTTATTAAAATTAATTTGAAATTTTATTATTAAATGATTTTTTTATAAAAAGATATAAAAATACTATATAAATCGATTCTAGAAGAGTCATTTACTAA